ACCATAACGGGCGGATCGGCGCTGGTGGGGGCGCAAACTATTGTCCTGCCGGACCAGCAGCCATTTTTGCAGGTGCTTAATGCGAGTACCGAAAGTGTATGTGTTCCGGCTGGTACAGTTGTGGCACATGCCACTACGGCGTTTACGGCACAGGATTATCTGGGCAGCCAGGGCGTGGTTGCTGGGGTTTCAGGGCCGGGTGCTGCGGATAATCGCTGGATCGCCGAATTGTGTGGGGAAAATCCTTCCCTTTCCGGGGACCAACGTTGTGCGATTCGTAAATTGTTATTAAGTTATTCGGATGTGTTCAGCTCCGACGATTTGGATTTGGGACGCACCTCGTTGCTTTACCATCATATTGACACAGGGGACGCTGCCCCTATTCGGTTAAACTCACATCGGATGAGTCCGGCCGAGCGAGAACACGTTCGAGGGGCAGTGGATGACATGTTGGCTGCGGACATAATATCTCCATCTAACAGCCCATGGGGCGCGCCTGTTGTTTTGGTTAAGAAGAAGGACGGCAAATTGCGATTTTGTGTAGATTTCCGGAAATTGAATAAGATATCTGTGGCAGATGCGTACCCCCTGCCGCGTATGGACGACTCCCTCGATGCCTTGTCGGGGGCGAAGTTTTTTTCTACGCTAGATCTCTCTTCGGGATTCTGGCAGCTTCCCCTTGACGAGCCCTCGCGGGAGAAGACTGCTTTCCGTACGCCGCAGGGGTTATTCCAATTTAATTGTCTTCCGATGGGGTTGAATGCTGCCCCTGCCACATTTCAAAGGTTGATGGAGCTGGTGTTAACGGGGTTGCAGTGGGAGACATGTCTGATATATTTAGACGATATTATCGTTTTCAGCCGCACATTTGATGAACATTTACTGCGGTTGGAGGCTGTGTTCGCCAGGATGCGTTCCGCTAATTTGAAATTTAAGCCTAAGAAATGTCACCTACTGCAACGGTCCGTGCGTTACTTGGGGCATATCGTGAGTGCGGACGGGGTGGCTACGGATCCAGACAAAACAGCGTGCGTCCGTGACTGGCCTACCCCGGCCACGGTGGGGGATGTGCGTCGGTTTTTGGGGTTTGCCTCCTATTATCGGAGGTTTGTTCCGAATTTTGCGACGATCGCGAGGCCCTTGCACCTCCTTACGGGTAAAGGACGGAAATTTGGTTGGGGACCGCCAGAAGAGGCGGCTTTTCAAGGCCTGCGCGATCTATTGGCTACGGCGCCGACGTTGGATTATCCAGATTTTGATCACCCCTTCATTCTGGATACGGACGCGAGTGACACGGGCATTGGGGCGGTGTTGTCTCAGTCCAAAGGTGGTGTGGAGCGCGTGGTGGCGTACGGTAGCCGGGTTTTGTCTCCTGCAGAAACCCGCTACTGCGTCACTCGCAGGGAACTTTTGGCTGTTGTTTTTTTTCTCCGCCAATTTCGACCGTATCTCTACGGTCGTTCGTTTATTGTGCGCACGGATCATGCGGCCTTGCAGTATGCTCTTAAGATGGACCAACCATCCGGCCAGTTGGCGCGTTGGTTGGACACGCTGCAAGAATTTTCCTTCCAAATTCACCAGCGGAAGGGGGTGCGTCACGCGAATGCGGACGCGCTTTCTAGGTTGCCGCAGCGATCCCCTTGCGCGTGCGCGTCTGGGACGCATAGGTGTGCGCCCATTCAGCCTCCCCCTCAGCCGGTTGCGTTGGCAGTCGAGGTGTCTGATGCTCCTATGGAGCCGGGACCGGCTGATGGGGTTTTGAATCTTCCAAGGGCTGTGTGGATTCGGGAACAAATGTTGGACGATTCATTGGTGTCTTTACGGAAGCGGCCTGCGAAGGAGAGTGGGGGTCCGGGTATGGCCGGTGTGCCGGAAACCGCTCTCCGCGATGGTTTGCTCATGTCGAGGAAAGGATTACAGGAACGCTGGCGTCTAGTGGTACCGGCATCCTTGCGGTACGAATTGATTAGGACTCTGCATTGTGACACGCTTTTACATCTGGGGGTGCAGAAGACCCTATTGACGTTGCAGCGAAATGACTTTTGGCACGGCATGGCGACGGATGTCGTCGGGCACGTTCGCGCATGTCCCGATTGTGCCTGGCGAAAACCACCTAAACATCCATATGTGCCGCCGATACAGTCTATTCAGGTGTCTCGAGCTAATGAATTGGTGGCGCTGGACATTTTGGGGCCCTTCCCGCCATCCGCGAAGGGTAATAAATACTTGCTGGTTGGGGTGGAGTACCTCTCCCGCTGGCCGATGGCCTGGCCGTTGCCCGACCAGTCGGCGGCGTTTATTACAGACGCCTTTCTATTTGGGTACGTTATGGACAAGGGGGCGCTGGAGAGGCTCCTCACTGACCAAGGCCGAAATTTTTCTTCTAAATTGTTGGGGGAAGTGTGCGCGGCTCTTGGAACTAAGAAAATACGGACATCTCCCTACCACCCGCAAACGGATGGTATGGTCGAACGGCTAAATCGGACTTTGTCCGCCATGTTGTGTCACACGGTGAGTGAACAACAATCAGATTGGGATTTGCATATCCCTGGGGTACTTTCGGCATACCGGATGACGCCGCATGCGGCTACAGGATATTCGCCGTTTTTCCTTATGTACGGTCGTGAAAACGTGCCGCCGATGGATGTGCAGTTGGGAACTGGAGTGAGGAGACCTGCTAAGCCTCTTCCTGATTACATTCAGGACACCGTTCACCGTGTTACTGAGGCGCGGGAAGGGGCCCGCATGGCTACGGCCAAAGCCCAGGCCCGGAACGAGCGGTGTGCTCGACGCTCTAAGGGGGAGTGCCCCTGGAAGGTTGGGGACCTGGCCTGGCTCCATTGCCCACAGGTGCGGCCGGGTACCTCTCCTAAATTACATAAACCATGGCAAGGGCCGGTTCGCCTCATCTAGGTTCCCAACCCACAGTCGGCGCGTGTTCGGGTTGGATCTCGGCGTTGGTTCGTTCACACGTCTCGCTTGAAACCATATGTGGCCCCTCTACCTGCTGCGTCATCTCCTGATGTTGCCTTGCCGGGGTCTGTTGCTGCCGACTCATCCTTGCCTGTGCCTGTTGATCATGCAAGAGCGCCTGTCGTGCCTGTTACAGACAAGCCGGCCGTGACACCGCAGGGGACGAGGGGCTCTGCTCGGGGGGTGCCTGCCAGGGCTGCGGGAACTCTGAGCCCCGCAGCCTATCCGACCCCGCTGCGGACAAAATTGCGGGACACCTCCGACGCTGAGCCTTCGGGGATACTGGACCGGGACGTCGGCGGGCCTCCAATAGCGACAGGAGGACTTCATCCTGTCGCTCCTAAAACCCCGTCACGTTCCCGGTCTGCGGGAGCACCGCCGACCGTCCGGGACGGGCCGGCGACCCGCACACGCTCGAAATCTCTTACATTTCGTTGAATTTTATTGTTGTGTTCTGTTCTTACTGTTATATTTATTGTATGCTTCGTTGTCCTTCAATGTGTCTCGGTCATGTTCGCTCGCATTACTTGTTGTTGTTATTGTTCAGCCGAGGTCGGCTGAATTTTTCTCTACGGGGGAGGGTGGTGTAATGCGGGCGTAAACGGCCTCGCGGATATGACGTCACGAGGGGAGGAGTTAGGTCACGTGGGAGAGAGGGATCAAGTCTTAAGGGGGAGAAACCGGAAGAGACGGGAGAGAGTTGGGGAATGAGATAGACGGAGGCCACGCAGGGCGGAGATCGGAGAGTGGCGAGATCGCCACACGGGGAGCGAGACTCGGCACCGTCGGCCAGCGGTGACCGAGCACGGAGGGCGAGCAGCAGCGGTGAAGCTGCTGTGAGGGCAGCCGGAGGTCTGCACGGGGAAACCAGCAGCAGTGGGGCTGCATCGGAGTGGGGAGAGGCTACGGGAGCGAGGGCAGCCTGGAGCTGCCGAGCGGAGAGGCTCTGAGCGAGGGCCGTGTGGGACAAGTGTAAAGGAACCCGAATAAAGGACAATGGAGACAGACACAGTGGACGAGTCCTTTATTACATAATGAATGAGTGACTTTCATGACACGTCGTATAGAGGGTACTTCTTCTTTATTTCTCTCACTGGGTATAACACAGGCCAACACTGGTTCTTCTTCACCTGAATATAACTCTAGACAATTATATCTCTACTGGCTACATACACAGCGGATTACTCGGCATGGTCCCCTCGTCCTCACTTGTCTCCGCCGCTAACTGGCGGCCTGACAATGAAGGCGATAGAACCCACGCAGGAGATCTTCCACGTTGCCGGACGACGGAGAAAGATGTCGGTGAACAACGACACAGCCAGGACCCAGGACCCCACACGTGCCCTGAGCTCTGGGTCCACTCTCCCTTATATTCCCCCAGGCATGGCTAAGCCCCGCCTCTGGCCACGCCCTCTCATGGAACCCTTGAACAGGTTCCCGGAGCATCTTTTCTAACCCCACCTGTTACGTTTACCCCAGATACGCGTCCTTCTTTTATTGAATGTTACTTCTGTGCCCGTACCTGTGAATCCCTTCCAGGGCCAGCAGATGTCACCCTGTCATGTCAGCAGGTGTAACCCTGTCATTACATTAATATAGCCACCTTGGCACGCTCGCCGTGGAGGATGTTCGGCGACTTTTTTTACCTGGCAGCCCTTTGATTGGTGGAAATCTCACCACCCCCACAGTCGCTGCACACCACTTACATTGGCTGCTGACATTTGGGATACGTCCATTTCAAACCTTTATAAACGGTTGTCTTTAGAAGCTAACCCCCCATTTAATGATGACGACCGCTTGTGTTGCGATCGACACGTCGTAGTTTTTTGTTATTCTTTGTAATTGTGTTTGGACCTATCTATGTGACTTTACAGAAAGACCCAAAGAATATGATTTCAATTATTTGTGTACTACAATTGCATAATTAAACATGCCATTTACATGACAGAGATACTCCAGTCGTGATGCCAACAGCAACCTTAATCTTCAGAATGCAAGTGCCAGAGTTGACCATCTCATGGACTCACCTCTCTCTTGCTCAGAGCACAAAAGAGGCTGGAACCTTCTTCTTGACCCTCTTTATAGACAAACAAGGGTGTGGTGGAGTTGCATTGTGTCTAGCTTGAAAATATAAACAAACCAAACACGTGATTAATTATTTTCACCATACACTACAAAACAACCAAAATTTCACATAGCTGTGAACTATGCATTGGTTTACTGACTCACATAGACTTTCATTTAAAGGTTATTACAACAACATACACATTTATACAGCATCTAAATATAAGTAAATCTCAACAAAACCATTAAAACTGGATGAATCCCAAAAGCATGGTGGGAGGTGTTGGTCATTGCAATACTCAAACCCGGCAAACCAACCGATGACCTGGGAAGCTATGGGCTAATATTACTCATGTGAAAGACCTACAAACTCTTGGAAGGCATCATCCTCCAGAGGATCAGCCCCTCGTCGAGTGAGTGAGCCCCAAAGATCAAGCGGGATGTGTGGACTTCTCATCGGACTATAACACAGCCTGGATTAAGGACTTGATGTGGAAGCTCAGAAGGACCATTCCTTGCCTGAAAACAATCCTCGTGATATGGACGGTGCTGATCAATAGGTCTCTGCATGTCTATATGAGCAACAAAGCCAGCTCACCCTGGCTCCTTATTGTATATACAGTCGACCCTTCTGCATCGCGACTTTCCCCATCGCGGTTTCGATATATCGCGGGGTCAGCATAAGAAATAAAATGAGAATTCTTTTGGGGAGTTTTTGGGAGTTTAGCAAAAACCGAAGACGACATGCGAAGGTGAGCAAATGACACACAAATAGTTTAGTAACTCACAAATGCATCAAATATATGCATAATATCAATGTATTTATTGTTTAAAACCATAAATATACACAATTTTTGTTTAAGTAAAATTTTGTGAAAAGTTAGTTTGCGCGTTGGTTTGGAGGATGCCAAGCTTGTCTACGGCAGCCTCTCGCGTGATATCTCACAGCCCCGCCCAAGGGGACCAAACATTTTACGCGTTTTTTACAGATCGCGGGGGGGGGGGGCCTGCGCCCCTAACCCCTGCGATGTGAAAGGGTCGACTTAGGGCTGAACGATGAATTGATTTCAAATCGAAATTAGCAAATCGCAAAAGCTGCGATTTTTGGCGATTTGAAAAGCCCTATTACATTCTTATTGAAATTGTTTATATATTTATTATTATTACTTTATTTATTTAACTTACCAATTGTTCTATGTTTCATTGTTCTATTTGAATTAAAACATTTTTATAAATACACTAGCGGTAAGTACCTGGCGTTGCTCAGGCGTAAAAGGCAGACACACACATGGACTTACACACAGACATTGACCCACACACATAGAAAAACATCGACTTAGACGCACACAGACACATATATGGTTAAACCCAGGATGAATCGTAGGCAGGCCAGCCTAAATGTTTCTAACCGGCGAAGATGTTCTATTAGGGGGATGTACGTTTAGCAAGCGTAGAGAAGGGAGAGAATTACCGTGGCCGAGAAGACCTGGAGCTTCATGCGGAGCGAGAAACCAGGTAGCTTCCACACAGCGTAACGCAGCTGATTAAAAGATAATGGCTCTCGACTGACTTAGAGTGAGACCTCTGCTGTTAAACCGGAGCCGGTCATGAGCACACTGGCCAGGTATGGGAATCTCGGAAATCTCTCCACAATTGCCGCATCACCAATTGTGAGTTGTGGGGGTGGATTGTTCGATGGTACAAAATTCCCAGGCAGGTGCTTAGTTTTGGTGAGGCTGATGGTAAGGCCCCACCTCTTAGTGGCAAGCTCCAGGTTCAGCAGCAGTGAGCAGCAATCACCAGAGCATCGGCATACATAACATGGTTGAGCAATAGGGAGGCATCCATTGACCACACCCGGGCATCGATCAGCCTCCCATTGTATCTGCACCATAAGGTAATTCCTCGGGTACAGTCATTGAAGACTTCACAAACTACGTGGTCAAAAGATATGTTAAATAATGTGGGAGCCAGAGGACATCCCTGTCACACCCCAAGGTGTAGAGGGAATGGCTTTGACTGACGGCCACGTAGTTTGACGCGGGGCCGCTCACCATCATGAAGGTCCTTAAGGACCGTGAGCAAAGTTTGAGGGACTCCGAAAGCATGAAAAACAACCCAGAGGCCAGGCCTACTGATGGTATCATAGGCCTTGAGCAGGTCAATAAAGCACATACACTCACTCACACGCACACATGGACCTACAGACACGCAAAGATATGGACTTACACTGACTGACATGGAGCCATGCCCACAAAGTGACTAACACAGACGCCCATGGACTGACACACACAGATATGCACTTTAGATACACACACATGGAGTTACACACACATATATCGACGTACACACATACAGCGACTCACACACACACATCGACTCACACACAGACAAATGTGGACTCACACATTGATGTAAACACACATTTACTTACACATACACATATCGACTAAGACACACACACATGGACTTATACACACATACATAGACTGACAAACACATTGCCCTACACACACATTAACATATGGATTGTGACACACAGACATCTACTTTAGATACACACACATGGATTAAGACACACACATCGACTGACACACGTAGACACACAAACGCACATTGACTTACACACTCAGATGGAGCCATGTACGCACATCGACTCATACACACGCATTCACTTAGACACACACACATGGAGTGAAACACACAGGTGTGGACTTACACACACATGTGGACTAACACACACAGCGACTGATACGCGCACAAATGGACTGACACACACACACAAACACTTGTATGTACGCACACATGGGGCGTTGTCCGTTTGAAAAACACAGACACACACATGGACTTACACACAGACATGGAGCCACACATAGAAACCCATCGACTCACATGCACAGAAACATTATCATTGCAATATTTGTAAACTTATTTGTTTAATAATAGTAAACAATAAACCTTCAATTCTTAGCGAAAGATGCAAGAAAATTGTACTTTACATTGGCGTGGTGACGCCTCGTCCCGTGCAGAGCCCGCGGCCTCGCCTAGATTGGCAAGCCGGAGGAGGTGAGACATTGTCAGGCTGTGGGCTGGGCCGCTACTCCCGCCCCCCTCACCATCCCCCCGTCCGAGGCAGAATAATACAGTACTATGTAAGCGCTTTAATAAGATTAAATTCATATCTAACGACTTTATAGCAGTAACTGCACGCATTGGGGTGGTGGGGGGGGGGAGAGGACATCACACAGTGAAGAGAAATCAACAGCGTGATGTGTATATCTATTCCATGTTAATCGCGTAAAATAAAATGTCCGCCGTGAGCTGGAGGCAACGCGAATCACTTGGTAGGGTCCGCACCCCCCACGCAATTGTCGTGAGTTGGTACGGTCGATGTCGCGCAATAAGTAAATAATTAAAATAAGAATGGCACTAATTCGTTGATTAAACGACTTTACAATTTACGGACGTGAAAACAGAATAGCCTATTCCCACCACGGGGCTTAGGGCGTACCGGCTGGCAATTTTTTTCGGTCTTAAACCCCACCGTCCGAGAGCCAAATCCCACGCAAGCGCGAGCGCACGGAGACTTTTATATATAAGAAGAATAAGAAGAGAAAGATGTTGGAAGCAATTCATATATTTTAAGTTATCATCCTTGCATTAGACTATATAGAGCAGTTCATATTTGATGGTATCATCTGGTATTGCTCCATCACATGTTTTAAATGTATTAACACAGTGAATATTAAACTGAAGCTTGACTTAAACAATGTAATCGCAAATCGAATCGCAATTGCAACATGTCAGAAAAATCGTAATTAGATTTTTTCCCCAAAACGTTCAGCCCGAGATGGACTGTATGCCTGTTATAATATTTTTTTATATGTCTTGTCTATTTTGAATGTCGCAGTTTCTGCCAGACAAATATGCGTTCACTGCATGCCAGAAGTCGGAAAAACCAGATGGCGAAGCCACAACAGCATTAAAATGAGAAGTGGGTAAACAGAATAAATGAGACATCGATCAAATGGGTATTATGAGAATAACCAGAGCTGAGGAGGGCCTAGAAGATGCAGTACATTTTGCTTCCTGGGAATTAACCTAACTCGTGTAGTGAAGGAGGAAGTAGTTCATGACAGCCAATAGAGGAATAACTCTTGCATGGGCAAGGAGTGACCCAGGGAAATTTCTGAGAGAGAATATACGCAAGGGTGTACCCATGCAAAACACCATAAGCTCGCTGCTCACCAAAGGGCAAATCCAGGGCAGAGAGACAAGTATGCCCCTTGCCGTTTCACTCTCTGAATTAACAAACCCTGGTGCCTGGAAAGTTGACACGTTCAAATGCCAACCATGCATATGAACATTCTTAAACATCATGGTATTAAAATTACCTTTGGTGATAGGATATATTGTTAAGTGACAATACAGCACATAGTCAGGGGGTTGTGAATACGACTAGTTACATGTTCTATGAACATCCACTTATCAATACATAAGTGCCATGAGATCTGGGTTAAGCATATAAACTTGATGATGACGTATGGAAGTTTTGTATTGAAGTCTTGAACCGAAGGATCATTCAGAAAATATACGTAATACGAATAACGTATATTCTCCACGACAAAATTGCAGGTATTCCAGGGGTATAACCAGAGCCTGCCAACCGCCTTTGTCTTCCCAGTGACTGTCATTGCATGCTGCACCAGGAATTAATTTTAAGGATGAGTCGACCTAACGAGGGAGGAAAGCCGTTTCACAATTAACATGGCATGGCTACAGACACACACAACACCTAGGGGCAATTAAGTGTGTCTGTGCTCACACATATCGTAGGATGACCTCCGAAGGGAAGAGTTTGATAGGGGTTATGACATTAAGTACCATGATGTCTGCGGAGCCAGAACCAGGGATGATCTCAGGCTGACCCGATGGATGCACCACGTGTGCAAAAGTGGTAGGAGAATGTCGGGCGGTAATGTATACTAGGTAATTAATCACATGAGCTAGAAATTACATACAACGAGCACACAATCATATTAGTCAGTTCTGCACTGGCAGACTCCGGGACTTTCTCTCGTGACTGGCAACAGAGTTCAGTTCCTGCCGAGGCACACGACGTGTCACGAGAAGGATTCTATTACGTTTTTTCGTTTGTTTTGGGCCGCTTGCAGAGCCAAGGACTGCGCCTGTAGTGTTGCAATATGTTATGTGGTAGAAGAAAATTGTTAATGAGAGCACCCTAGTGGTGAGGTCGTCTTATACAGCCCTTTTCATGCCACTGTCGTTCGATGGAATGTTCTGTTAAATACTGCACATTCATTGGAAAGGGCGCAGCCTGAAGTGCAACACATACAGGTTTCCCTCGCTTTGTGGTTGTAGATGTGTTCCAAGAAAAAAAGGCACACAAACCGAAACCACACAGGACAGCTTACCTGCCAAACAGTTCATAGAGTACACACACACACAATGTTGTTCCACGTCCGATCACGAAACCGTATATGAGTGAATTTAAATTGCATATAGAGATTTTTGGGTAGAAATACATTCGTCCAAAATACATGATATTAAAACAAACCGAACCCGCATAAAGTGAGAGAAACCTGCACTGACTAGCGGCAACCTTAGTCTACAGGCTCTCTGTTATGTAGGCTAGCCGTAGTCTCAAGCCGCACCTCACCATAATAATATCTCTTGTAATTTCTCATTTACTTGATACAGCTGTCGTGCTGTGACGGTTCCACCTGAAGACGGAAGCTTGTGTTGCCTCCGAAACGTCGTGATTTTTATTTTTATTTTATTTTTATTTTACTTTTATAAATTTTTATTTTTATTTTTCACCTACGTTACTTTACCGAAAAATCCTAAATAATAGTAGATAATGCGTTTGATAAATCAAGACTATTAAGGGTGTCGCTAATATAGTAATAGGTTTTACCCTTTCAACTGGTACAAAAACTGACACCTTTATACAAGGCAAAATGTTTGCAATAACCACAACACAAGCAGTCAAAATGCAAACAAAAGGAAACAACTCTGATAATGATGATATGCAACGTCCTTGAAGTTGATTGGTCCACACCCGAGACAGCTTTTCTTAGAGCCTAGTCTCCATTGGTGTTGGACCAGATGACGCCAAAAGGCGAACAACTCAAAAACAGTGCACTATCAGAGTATGGAAAGCTCGGGGTAAGCATTTACACTATGAGACATCTCCTTTACCAGTGGCAATATATAGTAATAGGTTCTTACCCTTTCAACTGGTAAAAAAACTGACACCTTTATAAAAGGCATCATGTTTGCAATAACCACAACACAAGCAGTCAAAATGCAAACAAAAAGAAACAACTCTGATAATGATAATGATATGCACTGTCCTTGAAGTTGATTGGTCCACACCCGAGACAGCTTATCTTAGAGCCTAGTGTTGAGTTGTACGCCTTTTGGCGTCATCTGGTCCAACACCAATGGAGACTACACATCATTATCATTATCATATTTGTTTCTTTTTGTTTGCGTTTTGACTGCTTGTGTTGTGGTTATTGCAAACATGATGCCTTGTATAAAGGTATCAGTTTTTGTCCCAGCTGAAAGGGTAAAAACCTATTACTATATTTTGCCACTGGTAAAGGAGATGTCTCATGGTGTCGCTAATGTTGTGTTTGGGCTAAGTATAGTATTACAAACCAACATCAAGGTTCGCGTAAGTGCAAGTGTTCAGGCAAGATTAATGTTTGACGTATTTTTAAAACGTTATTTTTTTTTTGCCTAGACTGTTTTTGTGTGTTTGCATGCAGTCCGATATTACAGGGCCATTCGTTCAACTTATTTAACATCGCTAACCCATTAGACATTAACATGCAGTTAAATATGGTATTATTTTTTCAACATAGCCTGTTAACATACCTGATTTACAATACCCAGCCTATATTAACCACACATAGTCTATACAATGTACGTTCTAACATCTATGCCGTATATAATTTACCTGTAACTGATTTCAATAGTTATAGCCTATTACTGGCCAATGTGCAGACGACTTGCATCTCGTATAATACTCACGACGTTCAGGTGATGAAGAGCCGTAGGGCGCAAGTCATTCGCTCCGTCTCTTCTGCTCTCTGGATTCACCCCGGCTTTATATTCAGATTCACAAGAAGGTGGAGCTTCCCAGACTCCACCCAGTGCTTGATAATAACGAATGCGCGTGTGTGCCTGTGTGCGAGAGACATAACGCGTGTGTGGACGTGAAATAAAGATTGTGAGCGTATGCCCTTTGAGTTGTTAAATATTGCATGTTACCTAGGCAGTGAGGATAGCGTATGAAGGAGTGTCTCGAGGAGTCGGACAATGAGATATAATTTCCAAATTATATAAGGCTCTCAAAGCACTAAAACTTAAATCGTACACTAACTTGTTATGTATATATGTGGAGCATCATGGGCGAAAGGACAAATAAGCAGAACTCCATTATATATCCACATATAAATAGAAAAATAGTTTAGTCCATTGACCGTTTATTTTTCCAGGCGAACATCAATCACCAAGCGGCATTTGTAAGCAGTCAAACTACAGACTGGTCTCGATGTGCTGATCATATCCAGCATTTCCGATTTTTTTTCGTCTCAATTCTATATTTTTCGTGAGCTTTTTTTGCTTGGAAAGCATCCCACTGTTTCAGAAGAGAGCAAGACAGCCAACCCCACATTTAGAGCCTTAAAGTGCACCTAGCCTGGCACAGGCGCCGTGGTGACGTCGCCGTCACTTTGTGGCGAATGGCGGATATTGGTATTGGTGTGTGGGGAGTGGTAGTGTAGCGGTGAGCGTACTGCGCTACAAAAGTGGTGACCCGAGTTCGATTCTTGCTCACGGCTAACATCAGTGCCTGGGTGTGGTGTGTAAACATCGCCACTGGGGAGACAAAGGGGGCCGGGTGTGGTGTTGGCCACCCACTCCCACGTGAGCCGTGCCGGCCTTCATAGGCGCTGCTCACTAACATCACTTGCCCCTATAGCCTGTTAAGGCTACAATGGGGGATAATTGTCGTCGTGGTGCGTGTGTCTGTGTGTGTGTGTACGCTTGCGAAACGTGGACCCCCTTAATGGAGCATCTTCGCCGGTTGGAAACATTTAGGCTGGCCTGCCTACGATCCATCCTGGGTTTAACCAGGCTGGATTGTGTGAGGAGCTCACAAATCCTTGAAAGATCTGGGCAAAGTCCCATCGGTGAGCTCCTCCGGCAGGCAAGGTTGCGTTGGCTGGGTCATGTAGCCCGCATGCCCAGCGACCGCATGCCTAAACAGCTTTTGTTCGGCCGGATCGAGGGGGCTAAACGGGCGCGGCACGGGCTAGAGAAGAGATGGAGTGATGTGGTACAATAGGACGTGGAGCTGAGTGGACTTGCCGATGACTGGTACCAGCGGTGTCAAGATCGGCCACTGTGGAGGAGGCTCGTGAAGGACGCTACTGGGCAGTTGGAGGCAGTCGCCCTCCAACAACAACGGAGGGCGGAGGAGCGACGCTCACAACAACGAGCGGAGCGCCGGGTGGCTAAAGCACAGCAAGTTGGTTCAGTAGGGGGCACAGGTGGTGCATCAGCCAGTCAGCTCGGTCATCTCGGTCAGTCGACCCGTGGCACCTGGGTCTGCCCCGTGACCTCCTGCCAGCGGGCGTTCGACACTTCACGTGGCCTCAAGGTGCACTTAGCCTGGCACAAGCGTCGTGGTGACGTCACCGCCACTTAGTGGCGAATGGCGGTTGTTGTTGTTGTGTGTGTGTCTCTGTCTGTCTGTGTGTGGGTGTCTGCAATTGTGGTAACTCATTGCCCCCTTTCTGACTAGCATCAGGACCCAAGGTTCATGAAAGTAAAACAGTGTTATTTTATATTCATGTTACTTTATTTTACGTTTTATTTCATTCATTATACAGTATTTTATATTGTTACATGAAAAAGTACAATACTCCTAATTGTGAGTTTGACTGCTTCTCTTTATGTTGAACCTTAGCACATGTCTTAACACTGACCATATGTCTTCTTGGTTCTTTCGGTAAAGTCACGTAGAAGGCAAATCATCTTTCTTCTTCTTCTTATATATAAAAGTCTCCGAGCACTCGCGCTTGCGGAGGATTTGGCTCTCGGACGGTGGGGTTTAAGACAGAAATCATTTGCCAGGCGGCACGCCCTAAGCCCCGTGGTGGGAATAGGCTATTCCGTTTTCCCGTCCGTAAACTTTATAGTAGTTTAATTAACACATTTGTGCCGTTTCTATTATTCATTGTTTACTTATTGCGCGACATCGACCGTACCAAGTGACGCCAATTGCGTGGGGGGGGGGGGCAGACTCTGCCAAGTGATGCGCGTTCGCTCCAGCTCACGGGAGACATTTACTTTTACGCGTTTTACAGTCAACACGTACACACATAACGCTGCGGATATTTATTCACAGTGTCATATCCTCTTCACCCCCCCCCCCCCCAACACGATGCGTTCAGTTTATACTACAGACTCCGTAGATAATATTTTACTGCTTACATACCGTTATTCTTGCATGGGCGCCGGATGTTGGAGAGGGGGTAGCGGCCCAGCCTCTAGCCTGGCAACGTGCCAACTCCGCGCCTCGCCAATGTAGGCCAGGACGGGGGCTACGCATCGCACAAGGCCTCAACACGCCTATGCTAAGTACAATTTTCCTTGCTTCTTACGCTAACAACTCAAGTCAATTGTTTATTATTGTTAAACACATTAGTTGACAAACATTACAATAATAATGTTTGTGTGCAGATAAAAACTCAGCTTCATTGTTTACCATTATGAAACAAGTTAACAGATGTTACAATAATTATGTTTGCGTGAAGATAACAACTCAGGTTCATTGTTTACCATTATGAAACGAGTTGACATGTTACAATAATTATGTATAGGTACACAAAACTCTTTTTGGATTTTTGGGTTGCTCAATTTCCCCTTTTTTTGCTGCGCTTTATAACGCTGCCACTATCTACTGCCAGTCTGTGATTTCTGCTTATTTTTTAAATGCATTTTTATTGTTTCCATCGCTCACGTCACGCTATTTACTCATACGTAGTACTGCGATACTGATAGCTATGCCATCATCGGGGATTGCTGTGCCCGTCGATGTATGTGTGTGAGTCCATGTGTGTGTCTTTGAGTCCATATGTGTGTGCGTGTAGAGCCATGCGTGTCTTTAACTCCATGTGGGTGTCTTTTTCGAACGGACGTCAAAGTGTTTATGTGTGTGTGTTAGTCCATATGTGTGTGTCAGTCGATCTGTGTGCGTGTACGTCGATGTGTATGTCAGTCCATATGTGTGTGTTAGTCCACATGTGTGTGTAAGTCTATACATGTGTGTGTCACTCGATGTGTGTGTGTAAGTCAATGCGTCTGTGTGTGAGTCCATATGTGTGTGTTAATCCATGTCTGTGTATCTAAAGTAGATATCTGTGTGTCACAGTCCATATGTGTATATGTGTATGTCAGTCTATGTATGTGTAAGTTCATGTGTGTGTGTCTTAGTCCATATGTGTGTGTGTGTAAGTACATATGTGTGTTCTTGGTTCTTTCGGTAAAGTCACGTAGAAGGAAAATAGTAAAATAATAAAAATAAAACATAATAAAATAATTCTCATGACGTTTCGGCCACAACGCAAACAGCCGTCTTCAGGTGGAGAACAGGTCTGTCGAGAAGGCAGAGTCTGAATCTCAGCCATCTTCAGGTGGAGAACAGGTCTGTCGAGAAGGCAGAGATTCAGACTCTGCCTTCTCGACAGACCTGTTCTCCACCTGAAGACGGCTTCTTGCGTTGTGGCCGAAACGTCGTGAGAATAATTTGATGTTTTATTTTTATTATTTTATTATTTTCCTTCTTCGTGACTTTACCGAAAGAACCAAGAAGATGAATCCCTGCAGTCACGAAAGCTTTAAATCGAAATTTACATATGTGTGTTTATGTCAATGTGTGTTTTATTCCACGTATTGCTGTGTGCGAGTCGGTGTGTGTGTGTTTGTGAGTCGCTGTATGTGTGTACGTCCATATATGTGCGTGCAACTCCATGTGTGTATATCTCAAGTGGATGTCTGTGTGACAGTCCACATGTGTATGTGTGTGTACGGCAATATGTGTGTCACTCTATGTATGTGTGTGTGTCGCTGTATGTGTGTACATCGATATGTGTGTGTAACTCCATGTGTGCGTATCTCAAGTACATGTCTATGTGTGTGTCAGTCCATATGTGTGTGTCTGTAAGTCGATGTGTTTGTGTGTGTCAGTCCATATGTGTGTGTGTGTGTCTCAGTCCATGTGCGTGTGTGTTAGTCGCTGTGATTGCATGCCTCCATGTTAGTCAGTGTAACTCCATTTTTTTGCGTGTCTGTAGGTCCATGTGTGCATCTTAGTCCATGCGTGTGCTTTATTGACCTGCTCAAGGCCTATGATACCATCAGTAGGCCTGGCCTCTGGGTTGCTCTTCGTGCTTTCCGAGTCCCGAACCCACTCATCACCATCCTTAAGGACCTTCATGATGGTGAGCGGCCCCGCGTCTTAACTACGTGGCCGTGAGTCAGAGCCATTCCCTTTACACCTTGGGGTGCAACAGGGATGTTCCTCTGGCTCCCACATTGGGCCACGTAGTTCGTCGAGCCTTCAATGCCTGTACCGGAAGAATTCCCATCTGCTACAGATACAATGGGAGGCTGATCGATGCCCGGGTGCGGTCAAGGGATGGCTCCCTATTGCTCAACCATGTTATGTATGCCGATGATCTGCTAATGGCTGCTCACTCAGAGGAGGAGTTCCAGGTGCTGCTGCTGAACCTGGAGCTTTCCACCAACAGGTGGGGCCTTACCATCAGCCCAACCAAAGCTAAGCACCTGCCTGGCTATTTTGTACCATCGGACACTCCACCTCCACAACTCCCAATTGCTGATGGGCCAGTTGTGGAGACAGTCGAGAGTTTCCCTGCGCAGTGTGCTAATGACCGGCTCCGGTTTAACAGCAGAGGTCTCACTCCGAATCAGTCGAGCTGCAGTATCTTTTCATTGGCTGCGTAACGCTGTGTGGAAGCTACCT